ATCGATGTTAGCCAGTTGCCCTGATGGATGGCCTGTTTTATAGAGGCTATGTACTCCATCTTGAAAGGCATGTTTTTGAGATATATATTGATTCTTTTTAGGTCCAGCATAAGTCTCCGTTTCCCGTTTGACAAAATATATATCCGTATAGAATCCCCTGCATTCCTCGTTTTGAGGGACTTGTGTGATAACCCATTGTGCAATCAACTGTTCTAGGCAGTTCTCCATTGACTTCCATTTTACGTCACCTTTGATCGGGAAATTTTTTGAATTCTAGTTTGTAGCCATCTTCAATTATACTCAGGACCCATTTGTCTTCGATGGATGTCGTACATACTGGTAATAACTGTTTCAGACGGCCCCCCACTCTTCCAGTTTGGGCGCCCTGACCTTCATAAAGATTTTGTGTTCTGGCTGGTACCTCTACCTCTGGATCCTCTATTGGAAGAAGAAGATTAAAATCTCCACTGGGATGATCTACCATATTCCCTTCCGGGATTGTATGACCTACTTTCTCAAAATGACCTCTCCTTGTTAAACTTGTCCCTGTAAGGTGCATTGTAGGGTCTTCTGTTCAACTGTGGTAGAAAGGCTTTCTTCCCATCCGCATCCTTCTGAATGGGGTCATCTAGGACTTTACCGAATAACCTTTCCCCTTGAAAAGGTAAGGCACAAAGGCTGGCTTTGGAGGCGTAGTCTGCTCCCCAGGAACGGAGCCACAGTGCTCTTCTAGCTGCTACTGACAATGCAAGGCTTTTTGACAGAGATTTTGTGACGTCTAAAGGAGATTCAGAAATGAAGTCCGTTGCCACTTTTATGTCTTTCAGGGATTCCAGTAAGTTCTCTCTGCTTATACCACTGGCTATATCTTCTTCTACATTTCCAATCCAGACCTTCATGCTTCTGGTTACTGACATCAAGGCTGCAGCTGGATGTAATCCCAGCCCAATTGCCAGATATTTTTTAACCAGATTACAGTCCATTCTCTTTTCCATACGTTCTTTCAGGTACGCCATGCTATCAATGGGAAGTATGGGTTCTTTGTTAACCGGATCAAAGCAGCGTCAATTTTTGGAATGGTTTCCTAATGCTTTACTTCCTGTGTTGCAAATGGGTACATTCTTTTCAGTTTCGCTTGCAGAGCGAGTCTCTTTTCTGGTTTGGACCATTCAGAATGGATCAATTATTTTATTATAGAATGGAGCGGAAAAGTAGGTCTGACAGATATTATATCTTCGAAAAAGACATCTGAAGCTGATGTTTCCTGGCTATCTTCTGGAATTTTTAAGGTGCTTCTAACCAAAGAAATTAGTTTGTCCATCTTTCTGGAGTCTGGAGACTTGTTCCAGTATTCATAGTACTCCTCATCCTCTGAATTCAGTTCATTTAGCTCCAGGCGAGATCCCAAAGAGACAGAAGCTTCTCAATACCTCTTGGTTGCCCCTTTGGAGGCTGATTGAAAGCCTTCAGAGATGGCATCAGAAATCAATTTTTCAAAATTCCATTTGGGGTGAGCTTCTTTCAGTTTGTCTCTCCGCTAGTTCTTCATTGGAAGCACAGATTCTTCCCCTCTGGGGCTTTTGAACCACAGCCCATGCAGAGATTGGTTTTCTGTTTCCTCTTTCTTGGAGGCGAATCGTGAGAGATTCTAGTGCTGAAAAGACAAGGCCATATGTTAATACTTCCAGGCCCTCAATGCACTCTTTTTGCACCCCCATGAACTGGACTCACCTTTTTCTTCTAGAAACACTTCTCAAGGAGGTTGGAGAAGAATCCATCTAATTTAAATAAGGTTACAAAATTAGAATAATTTAAATATTTCTAAGAAATCATTAGCAAATTTTGAAGCATAACTAACCTTATAACTAACGAATGCAGAAAGCAAAGGCAGCCTACACTTTTTAAATTTCACGGGCAATTCCTAGCTGCAGTATACTTTTATACCACTAGGTGGCTCTCACGTGGCTATAAGAGCTTACCGTGCATGTGTGAGAGTCCCACGGTCAAACAAAAGTGATTGCAGCCGCCATCTTGGAAACAGAGACGCGATGCTGGAGCTGACATCGCTGGATCCTGAACGCCAGCTGCATTATTCAGGAACCATGGTGCTGATAATGCAAGGCTTTAAATCAACTAACCGGTAAGATGGCTTCCCACACTCCCTTGGTTAGGGGGTAAAACGGACTGTTAGACACATGTCTAGTCCATGCTGCTGGGGATGATAGGATTGGTACTTCAGTCCCACGGTGGAGTCTCTTTTGCTAAAAAGAGACTCAAACAAGTTAGTGCTGCCAGTTTAGTCTGTTTCATGGTTTCTTCAGGGGAGAGAGGCTGAACTCCCCCTGGAAGAACTATGTTAAACATGGTAGTGAGCCCAGAAAGAAAAAAAGTTTGTTTTAAGGGATCCTAAATCCCTGTCTGTCAACTGGGACAGTAAAAAAAGACTGAGGGGTCTAGAGGGGAGGGGGCTATTATTGGAAAGTTAATTGTTTAATTATTACTGTCCTGACAGCTGGGAGGAGGAGCTTAGCCATATGTGATGCTGCCATGTATGGCCAGGAAATATATATTTATAAATACATATTACAACCAATATATGGCACTGACACACATGCACAGATACATTGAGCTCTCCTGTGATACATCAAATGTCTTCTCCCTGTGCCCGGTGAGCCTCACTAGGCAAAGCATTTTCTCTACAAAAAATGGTTGATCAATTTGTATGCAGTCATATATGAATAATCCAAATATTTGCCAATTCAAAAAAGTGACAAGGTTCATCGAACAAAAAAATCTCTGTGCTTAGGAAAGAATAGGGAGTAGTATATAATAAGTGAAATATGGAGTAGTGTTTTCATGTAGTAACAACATTTTCAGTCATTGTTAACACATGGAGCTTGGATAATGAAAAATTATAAGAACTTAAAAAGTAAACATCATGGAGTTCTCAAAATTCAAAGACCATTTACTAAACAGTTCCTGGACACTGTCTGCATATAGGCGTTATATAAACACTGTTTTCATGCAGTGATTAGACTGATTTGTATTAAAGTGAAAGGAATTTCTAAAATAAAAGGCAATATATCGTGCATTAGATGCATCAATTGATGCTTCTTGAGGGCCACAGGGAACAAAATAAGAACAAGACTATTAAAAAACTCCCTGAACCTATGGACATATGAACATATGGAGAATTTACCACCCCCAAGAAAAGGACTTTACTTGCTTTTCAAAAGTCCATTACACATATTCTAGGTTAGATCTATTCTTGGTTACAGTAGAGATATCACTTAAGATAAAGAAGGTTCTTATTCAGGAAGTCACTTGGTCAGACCATAACCTGGTCATAGTGGACCTTAATATAAGCCCAGATAATAAAATAAGGAACAGTTGGAGGCTAAATGATCTCTTATTAAAAAATCCCCAAGAAATAGAGAAAGTAAAAGAATTAACAAAATGTTTCTTTGAAGATAATCAAAATAAAGGTACATCAGATGTAATAGTATGGTGCACCTATAAGGCAGTTCTGAGAGGGCACTTTATCAAAATGGGTTCAATAAGAAATAAGAGTAAAAGGTTCTCCTTGACAGACCTATATATTTCTTTAAATGCTTTAACAAGCCTTAATAATGATAATCCCTCCAAACAAATGAGTGAGAAAATAGATAAAATTAAAGATAATATTAATGAAATTCTATGGCAGCAAACCTCCCAAAAATTAGAGCGCTTAAGAATAAAATATAGAGGTAACCGGGCAAATAAAATGCTTACAAATAAAGTTAAAGGCTATAGAATGGCCACAATGAGACAGAAAATTATTACTGAGGAAGGGCCACAACTAACCCCAGAAAAAGTTGGTAAATCATTTAATTCTTACTATCAAGAGTTGTATAATTTGCCTAACCAACCTGACAAACCAGAAACATATTTTAAAAATAAAAAGATGAAACAGCTATCTGCAGAACAGGTTAATAGTATCAACAAACCGTTCTCTGAATAAGAGATTAAGGAGGCAATAGATATGTTAAAAAAGAATAAAATTCCAGGCCCGGATGGCTATCCTAATATATTCTATAAGCAACTTGAAGAATTGGTGTTCCATTTAAAAAATTTATTTAACAAAATTGTGGAGGAAAAGGTCATCCCGAAAGAAATGCCATATGCAAATATTATCCCTATACAAAAGCAAGATAAACCACCAGATCAAGTAAGGAGTTATAAACCTATTTCTCTGCTAAATTCGGATATAAAGATATATGCTAGCATCCTAGCTAACAGGATGCAAACCGTCTTACCTTACCTAATTCATAAAGATCAGGTCAGCTTCATAAAAGGTAGACTCTCCAGCAATAGTGTGAGAAAAATAATTGATATTCTAGACAGCACTAATGACTCGTGGGTCCCATTTCTGGCCCTGTCATTGGACACAGAGAAGGCCTTTGATATGGTCAGGTGGGACTTCCTGATAGCATCTATGAAGGCTTTTGTTTTTGGTGGATGGCTAATGGATGCTGTTATGGCCTTATATTCCTAAGGGCTAGAACTATAGGGAGAGGTATAATATCTGACTGGTTTAAAATAAGCAGCAGGACTCGCTCGCCACTGCTTTATTTGTTATATATTGAACCTCTAGCCTGTGAAATTAGGGAAAACCTAAAGATTAAAGGAGTTAGAATAGGTCAAGAAGACTACAAATTATTACTATATGCGGACGATGTCCTAATCACCATCACAGATCCAGTACCATCATTGGATGAATTGATGAAAGTTATAACTGAATTTGGAAACTACTCTAATCTCAAATTGAATGTAGATAAAACAACTATATTAGCAAAAAATCTAAGTAAGGAAGATAGAGGAAAGATTGGGAATAAATATGACTTTGCTTGGGCTAAGAAAGATTTGCAATATCTAGGTATTAAAATAACAAGTAACCCAAACAAAATTATAGAGAAAAATATTCTCCCTATGATGAAACAAATAAATAAACAACTTAAAGACTTAAAGGACCACTATAGTGCCAGGAAAACATACTCGTTTTCCTGGCACTATAGTGCCCTGAGGGTGCCCCCACCCTCAGGGATCCCCTCCCGCCCGGCTCTGGAAAGGGGAAAAGGGGTTAAACTTACCTTTTTCCAGCACTGGGTGGAGAGCTCTCCTCATCCGATCCTCCTCCGTTCCTCCTCCTGGGCTGAATGCGCACGCGCGGCAAGAGCTGCGCGCACATTCAGCCGGTCACATAGGAAAGCATTCATAATGCTTTCCTATGGACGCTGGCGTGCTCTCACTGGGAAAATCACAGTGAGAAGCACGCAAGCGCCTCTTGTGGCTGTCAATGCGACAGCCACTAGAGGCTTAGGGGGAAGGCTTAACCCATTCATAAACATAGCAGTTTCTCTGAAACTGTTATGTTTATGAAAAATGGGTTAACCCTAGCTGGACCTGGCACCCAGACCACTTCATTAAGCTGAAGTGGTCTGGGTGCCTAGAGTGGTCCTTTAAGAACTGCAGAGATATCATGGATTGGAAGAGTAAATGTTGTAAAGTCAAACTTATTGCCCAAATGGAGATATATATTCCGCATGATAGCTCTTAAAATTCCAAAACCATGGCTTATAATGATACAGACAGCTTTTGATAAGTTTATATGGCTGAAAAAAAAAACCGAGGGTGAATAAAAAAAATATTAAATATGAATTCAAAAAAGGGTGGGTTGGGGGGTCCCAGACATTCTAGAGACATATGAGACATGCGCAATGGCTCATTTAATTATATTGTTAAATGAGAGCTCTGCAGAGGAAGCATGGGCAAATATGGAAGCTACAAGACTGGGGTCTCCAGACATATTAGCTATATTTTGGAGCCTACAAAAGAGAAATCACATAAATATAGGCCTAATTATGGATAATTTATTATTGCAGTGGAAAAATTGGAAAAAGAGTCTTAAGATACTGGATAAAATTATTATGGATTTACCTCCCAACATTTTGACAGTCAATATAGAAGATTTAAATGTAAAAACCTGGACGTCTAATGGTATTAATAAAATAGATCAAATATTGCAAGAGAATCAAATTGTCTTTTGAGGACATTATGCAGTTATTTTCTCTTCCCTATAGAGATAATTTTACATATTTAATTTAGTATCACATTGTGCTAAATTACATAAATTATATAAATCAAGTCCAATATTCCCTGCCCTTGTTTCATGGGAAAAAGATCTACAGATTACTATCACAAGAAATGAGTGGATAAATGCAAATAATGCCGTAACTAAGGCTATTCATTGTTTAAATTTAACTGAAAGTCATTATAAGATCATTAATAGATGGCACTATGTCCCCACTAAATTGGCAAAAATGTACCCATCCTCTCAACATAAGTGTTGGAGATGTGACTCACTTAGAGCAGACTATGTCCATATCTGGTGGTCTTGCCCAAACTTAAGTCAGTTATGGAATAAAGTAGCAAAATTCTGTCAAGAGGTGATAAAAGTAGATCTAGATTTTACTTGTAGGTCTTTTGTGCTACATATGGGTTGGCCTAGAATCTCAAGAAGTAAAAAAGATATAGTGATACACATTTTAACAGAGACTAAAGCAACATTAGCGAGATATTGGAAATTATCTGATTCCCCCTCTTGGGATATGATAAAATATCAGGTCCTGAACCATTGCAAAATGGAGATTGGAATCCTGAGACACGATAATTATACTAATTCTAGAATAGAACAATGGGAGGAATGGGTAAAAAAATTAAGCTCTACATAAGAAAAACAATTGTATCTATTATTAGATCTTGATACAGTATGTGCATTGGACATTATTGTTAAATATAGGTAGTGAATAATAACTTAAAATTTTCTTGAGAAGAAGTAAAGATAATAACCTTAGTATGACAAATAACTAATGAATACAGAGACAGATTAGAATTTTTTTTTAATAACTCTATATCTCAGAGAACTAACACTGTTAATATGTCCATATGGTTCTAATATTTCTATATTTTGCATCTCTATATAAAGCTGTCTAATGGCTATTTATAGCATATATTTTATTTTTAAAAAAGGAGGAGAAAAGAGAGAAAGTAAGAGAAAATGGAAAAGAAAAGGGGAAAATATCAAGCTCTATAGTAGGGCACTATCTGTTAGGATTTATAGATCTCGGCACGGTATGACTTTATGTTTGTATGTTTTTATGTTTACATTGTTTGTTATAGACAGTGAATAACTATTTAAGGTCCTCTCAAGTCGAAGTGAAGACACTAAATTTAGTATGATGACTAATTTATAAATAAGGTGATAAGGGAAATAAATTAAAATTTGGTATCTTAGAGCGCTAGAACTGTCGGAATGTATTTATGGCTGTACTGTCTTTTGATTATATTTTTAAATGTAAGTCTTTTATTGTCTATTGTGATAAATTTTCAAAAAATAATAAAAAATAATGAAAAAAAAACCAAAACTCTGATATTTTGCCTTCAGTGTGTGGTTTTGATGTATTTGCCTGTTGTGATGCAAGAGTTCCACTGGGCAGATTATATATATATATATATATATATATATATATATATATATATGTATATATATATATATATATATATATATATATATATATATATATATATATATATAGAGAGAGAGAGAGAGAGAGAGAGAGAGAGAGAGAGAGAGAGAGAGAGTGTCACGTGAAATGCCACAAACCAAAATGTGCAACGTCACCTTCTGTTTTCATTCAGACAATACCAGTTGGCAATTAGCCTAATATCTTAGAAAAAACATATCTTTGATAAAAACATATAATTATAAAAGAAATATACAGGGCTCAAAATGTAAAAGTTACTCAAAACTGCAAGCCTGGAATACATACTCACCAGGGGTGCATATCTCTCTTTCTCTCTCCCCTACCCATATAAATGTACTCTTCCCCCTATATGTATATAAAAATCCAAGAAAACGCATGTCTTTATATAAAAATATAATGAGATCTAAGTATTTAGACACCAGGGAGAGGCTAGACCTTACTGTAAGAAAACACATCTTTATGTGAGATGGGGATCAATATCATGTATAGTTTAATACTGCACTCTAGTGTCCATCAACTGAAATGGATATATGTTATCCTTTATCGTGTATCAGAATGAACTGGGTATTTAGTATTTTTTATGATGATATAATTCACTTCTCTACATAGTGTATGCCCCGAGACATAAAACTACTCTCACACAAAACAGAATAGTTATTACTGTGTGCAAAAAGCTAATCTAAGAGTTCTCTCTTTGTTAAAGCAAATTGATGTTTTATCTCCAACTCACGTTGGTGTCAAGAGCAGATATGAGTAACATTAATTATTTTCTTGCTGATGCATATTGAACATAAAGCATGGGAAAATTAAAGTGAACATTTCAACATTTATATTATTGTAGTGGTAGTGGAATCCTAAAATGTATGTAATTAGTTAATAATAATACTAATAATACTAATAATAATATTACCATCCTTGTTGTTTTACATATCAAGTGAAATTTAGAAAGAATATTTTGATGTAATGGAATATTTTTTTTAAATTCATTATATGTGTGTGTGTGTGTGTGTGTAGTTTATATCTATTCAGTTTTGTATGAATGCTTCATGTGCCATGTGCCTTCTTCTTTTAAATCCCTATCTGTTTGAAAAGTGTAGGTGTAGCATGTGACAACTGTTGTTATATAAGATTGTTTACCCACCCATCACAGTTACCAGCATGCATTAGTCAACGTGAGCTCAAAACTATTCCTTTTCTAGGAAAAAACAAACAAACACTAACATAATGCTGTAATGGTGTTTTTAGAATAACATCATGGATACAATACTATCTGTTTATGCAATGACTGCTGACACACTTGCAAACCTATCCCAAGTTATCGAGGTTCTATTAAGTCTGTCAACATCTATTAGGCATAACCATTTAGTCTATAATGAATGTATACACATTGGAAAAAAAGCCATAGAAATGTTCATGTAAATCCTATTACAATTGACATAAATAATTAGGTCAGTTATTGAAAAATAAAGAATTAGGTCAATAATTGAAAAATCAGGAAAATAGCTGTACATTTCTTTTAGTAACTGTCTTTCTTTTCTGTCCACCTTTGTGTCTGTCCGTCTCCCTGCCCACCTCTTACTAAAAGTCAGAATGTAACTATAGAGTTAAAATGATTTTAAGGTTTGTCTGTAAGAGTAAAGTGATGCACACTTTTCTGGCAGTGAAATTGGTTTTTTTTTCCTTCTAAAAATAAATGAACCATTTTCCTTGCTTAAAAAAGTAGACTACAGTATGATTTGATCTCCTGCTGTGCTAATTGATGTACTCAGTTTGTTTCTGATATTAAAAAGGAAACCATTCAATGTGAAAACCCAGTATTTTCTAATATATATGTATAAATAGTAATGATAACTAGATCTAAATTAAATAGATGTTAGATAATCTTCCTCCTTGGAATGCTTTTGTAAATATCTGAAATATTATCTTAAAGGAAACATCACAAATTAGTTTATATTTTTCAGAGACTCCGCATTTTATGGTCAACTTTGGCACTTTTTTTTATATAGCTGTTTCACCCTCATTTTGTTCTCATTAAAAGAATGCTCTATCATTATAAATAAATATATTTACTTACAATGGTCAAATGCTCATTTTAACTTTAATGTTCAAGATCCTCCTTTTGAAAATGTGTAAAAATTAATAAAACCTGTTATCAAGCACTGTCCAAATCTCATTGTAGCCACCACTACTCCTGATGATGATCTCCAGTCCAATCTAGTCTTTCTCATAGGGAAGCACTGGGCATCTGTGTTTGTATGCATGTCAATTGCCACACTGCTTTGTGGAGAAGCATTATCCCAGTGTTTTTCTATGAGATTATTATCACAGTTTCGTGTCATCGCGATGCCTGTGGCGATAAGTAATGTGAACACCTTAAATATTTGAAAGGACTTAATAAAGACATTTGAGACTGTAGCAACATGGTCTTTGGACCCGAAATACTACATTAAGTATGTTTACTTGCATTAGCAGAGCAGCAAATGAGAAGCAGCTGACAGGAGACTGGGACACTACATTTCTGTTAAACCATTTATAACCAATAACAAATCAAAACCAATTGATTGAGATGTTGTTTTGAAGTAGAACATTTCTTAGTATATTGTAGTTACTATTATCTACTATGTCTTTATTAAACCCAGGTTACAGCAATTATTTCCCAACAACATAGGAAACAAACCCTAAGAGTCAAAATAAATGCACAGAATCAA